GTTAAGCAAAACGAGCATCATTGGAATAGCACCAGAGCCTGCTGGCTACTGCTTGTCCCATCCACCACTGAGACGGATGTTGGCACCTCCAACTCTCCCTGAGGGTTGTCCACTTCTCCCTGCTCCCGATACTCTCATACTTCTGGTTGACTGCACTTTACTGAGCCAAACCCTTGACCTTTTTTATTTTTATTTTGAGACAGGGCTTTGCTAAGTTGCTGAGGCTGGCCTTGAGTTTGGGATCCTCCTGCCTCAGCCTCCTCAGTTGCTGGGATGATGGGTGTGGCCACTGCACATAGTTGAGTGCATTCTAATGAAGAAAGTAATGAGTTCATCACCCCACCTGGATGAACGGGCCTGCTGCATTACCAAAATGACCCTCATCTTGCATAGAGCGCTTGGCTGTGACACCTACTGTGGTAAATCATACCATCCCTGCAGTTTTCTGTATCAGTGCAAGCTTGGGGTGTCTTTCCTACCCTCTCACTGTCCTTCTCCTTGCCCTTCTCCTCGATGTCCTGCCATCGGCCCCTGGTCCCCTCTGGTCATTCCTACTTTTTCATACTTATGCCACTGACACTTTATGTGATTTTGCGGATTTTAAACCTTCCATCGAGCTACTTAGTCTCCACTTTTCCTGGTTGTTCCTTGTTCCATTTTCTCCGTTTTTCCTGCCTCCTGTGTTCATGGTCACATGGTCTCTGTCAGTTCAGAGGGGGCTTTAGGGCCGTGATGAGTGACGGTAACTTTCCCAGCCCCTTGCTCTGTTGTGCAGACCCAGATTCCTGTCCAGCACTGCCCTGCCTGGTCCTGGAGGACCTCGGTGACGTGTCCAGGGTACAAGTCCACTAGGATGGACTATGAGGGGCTGGGGATAGCCCATGCTGGGCATGGACCCGGGGCCTTGTGCGTGCTCGGCAGCCCTTCAGCACTGCTCTGTACCCCAGGCTCACTTAGTTTTTGCATGTTCAAAAAAGTATTTATTTTGCCTTGTTCCTGAAAAATGTCTTGCGGGGAATAGAACACAAGGTGCGGTCTTCCTTTCACACTCTCCAGATGTCACTCCAGGAGTCCCCACCTGCACTGTTCTGCCTAACCCAACCTGTACCTGACTTCCTCTGAACATCACGTCTTTTTTCGCTAGTTCCCTTGAGTGCTTTTCACTAATTTTCAGTAATTTGATTAGGAGTCTAGTCATCCTTTTCTTGTTTGAGGTTGTCAAGCCTCTGGGCTCTGTGGGTTTGTAGTCAGTCATTACTTCTTGGAATGTGCTCCTCCTGGCCCCCTGGCCCCCTGGCCCCAGGGCTGCAGTCCCCGTGGTGAGGGGTCATCCTGCAGCTCTCTGGTGCTCTGTTCACTGGCTCTCCTCTCGCTGTGATTTTGGGTGACTGCTGCTGCCATTTCCCCAGTTCTTTCAAGTCTGTCTTCCTCACTGGTTTTTGTTTTTGAACCCTGATATGTTACCCTGTGCAGTAGTTCAGTTTTCATGACTCCAGCTCTGCATGGCTGACATTCCGTGACCCACTGTGGAATCACTGGGATGGTTTGGTCCGGTGGTCGATGTTACTGGACACCTTTAAGACTTGGCGACACCTTGTTATCTGTCATGTGAACATATGCCCTGGGGCTCAAGGGTCACCTCTCAGAGGGGTTTTCTCTTTTCCTGCCTTGGGCTAATTCAGCTTGGACTGCTCTGTGTCTATTATTCACCACTCTGCTCTTACGGCGGCATGTTCCTTTGGTTTTTTCCTAATCTTGGGGTCGTTCCCACTTCAGAGAGACAGAACCTGTAGTTATCCTTTACAGAGGTTTTGCTAGGGATCATATTTGTCTCTTTTGTGAATTAATATAGACCCTGATCTTTCACAAGCACCTGATTATTTTCTTTTTGGGGAGCAAATTGCCTCATTTCTGGCCATTGGGAGTCCTCGTCCCTTGGTGTCTTCAAAAGTAGCCTTGCTTTTGGCCAACATCTGATGTTCCAGCTCCATCCTGACTTTTCCTCTTCTAAGACATGGAAGTGGGCATTTTCCCAGAGTGCGTGGGAAGAAGTATATTGTGACGGAAGAGGAGAGGCACGTCTTTTTAGGGTCAGGAGGTCAGGAGTTCACTTTTTGCAAGTCAGCATGCCATTCTGTTGTAACTAACTTTCCTACAACCTTGGGTTTCATCCACAACTGGGACTTCCTACTATTCCAACAACCAACCAGTGGGTAGCTGCGAAACACAAGAGGCATTAGGTACACAGTGACCTGGGTGCACACACGTATTCGGAATCTTCCTGCTCAGAACTGGTCCTCTTGCACACAGTTCACTTGGAGGTTTTGCTTTTTTGTTTCCTTCTGGTACTTGGGATTGAACCCAGGCATGCTCTACCCTTGAGCTAACACCCCCAGCACTTTTTTCATTTTGTTTGGGACAGGGACTCACTTGGTTGCCCAGGCTGGTCTTAAACATGCAATCTTCCTGCCTCAGCCTCCTGAGTCACTAGAATTACAAGCATGGGCCACTGCACCTGGCTTGGCTTTTGATTTTAAAGTTGGTCCTGAGCCTCTAATCTGATTTTCTGACCCACTGTGAGCCTCCACCTAGATGACCTCTCCACCCAGAGCCTGGTTTTCCTGTCTTTGAAGGTTGGTTCCTTTCTTCATTGGCCCTGTTAGATTTTAGCAATGATCCATGGTTGCCACCTTTTTTTTTTCCCCCTTGCATATATGGGAGCAGGGGAATGCTTTTTGACCAAAGGGGTCTTTCCCCTGCTTCCTAGTATTCTGCTCAAATCCTTGGCCAGCTCAAGTAGGGTTCTTACCTCCAGAGGGCTACCTTCCCAAAGGCAGAGCCATATTGGGGTTTATACAAGCATGTTCAGTATTCTCTTTATATATTGTTTTAATATATATTTTTTAGTTGTAGTTGGACACAATACGTTTATTTTATTTATTTCTATGTGGTGCTGAGGATCAAACCTAGAGCTTTGCCCGTGCTAGGCGAGCATTCTGCCAATTAGCCACAACCCCAGCCTTCTCTATATTTTATTTCTAGGCAAGCCCCAATAAATCCAGATTGTTCTCATGTTTTATATCTAAATAAGAGAGCTTTCAAAACTCCCATCCCAAAACAAGAAACAGAAAGAATCTGTAGGAGTCCGTAGTGTTTTTTTCCAATAAAGCCAAATTGGAACTGACCTCGATTTTTTTCTCTTCTTTTTCTTAAAAAAATTTTTAGTTGTAGATGGACATAATACCTTTATTTACTTATATGTGTGGCTGCGGATTGAACCCGGGGCCTCACACATGCTAGGCAAGTACTCTACCTTTGAGCCACAAACCCAGCCCAATTTTTCCTCTTTTGAGCACACCAGCACCAGCTAAAAACACAGGGTTAAGGGTCCAACCCAGAATCAGAATCTGCTTTGTAACAAGATCCCCAGGGCGTGTCTGTGCATGTGTGGTCATGCTTACAATCTTCTGCCTCAAAGAATTTAAAATATCATGCTGTATAGCTAATGATTTCATAATTCTGATTGAAAAAGTTGTTACTGCAATCATCTGAAACTAATTTTTATGTTAGGTGTGAAGTATATGCTCTAAACTAAGGGGGATGAGTACTGGCACATGCCTTTAATCCCAGCTATTTGGTGGGTACTGAGGCAGGGGAATCACAAGTTCCAGGCCAGCCTGGGCAAGTTAATAAGGCCTTGTCTCAAAATAAAAAATAAAAAGGGCTGAGTAATATAGCTCAGTGGTAAAGTACTTAGCGTACATGAGGCCTTGGGTTTGAATCCCAGTACTGCAAACAAACAAGAATAATCTAAAAATTCTGAAAATGAGTTACCAGTTGTCCTGATAGCCTTTATTGGGAGTCCATCATTTTCCCACTGGGGATATGTTAGGTGGGAAAAAAAGAAAAGCAAATTATAAAACTGCAAGTGTAGTATAATGTTACATTTATTTAAAAAAAAAAAAAAAAGCCGGGCTCTGTGGGCACGCCTGTAATCCCAGCGGCTCAGGAGGCTGAGGCAGGAGGATCCGAGTTCAAAGCCAGCCTCAGCAAAGGCGAGATGCTAAGCAACTCTATGAGCCCCTGTCTCTAAATTAAATATAAAATAGGATTGGGGTTGTGGCTCAGTGGCCGAGTGCCCCTGAGTTCAATCCCTGGTACCACACACACACAAAAAAAAAGGGACGGTTTAAAAAAAAAAAGGCATTCCAAACTGTGATTGCATGAGCGCAAGGTTCAGAGCCTGCGTGGTCCCAGGCCTCTAAATGTCCTAATTCCTATACCACTGAGATGGGGGTTCTACACTGTAATTATTTTGAGCCTGCAAATGAGTTTCTTAAAATGAGCGCAAACTGGATGATACTGTGTATGCAAAGTGCCCAGATTCGGCGCTCTCGAGGGGCGTGGCCAGGCACCGGACTGGGAGTAGCTGGGAAGTAGCGTGGCCAGGGAGCAGCCAGGCGAAGCCAGCCGGGACTTCGCATGGCTGGGAGTGAGGCTTCGCGGCATCCTTCCGGCGCGGCGGGAGCGGGGGCGTGGCCGGCGGAAAGCGGGGCGTGGCCGAGCGGGGGCGTGGCCGCGTCCCGCGCGCACG